GACCACTTAATCTATGCTGCAGAACAGTTTTGCCCCTCAGAAAATGCGTGAGCATGTTAAGTAGTTTTGGAAATGGATCTGAGAAGGAGGGTTCTGAACCATGCCCATGAATTTCCCAGCCTCGTCACACTTTCGTAGCCCCAAAATAACTTTCCGCTTGCCCTTCCTATGAATGCAAGTTAAGCAAAACCTCTTGACAAAGCAAATTAAGAGTAATAAATGGTTTGGGTTTTTGTTTGTTTTCTGTTTTTGTATTTCCTGTGACTCAAATCAAACCTATTTCTGAACTGTAAAGTATGAAAAGAAAGAGATCAAGCTGACATTTAGGAAAATTGAACATTGATAAGTAAATTGCCTTCACTCAGTCTCTTAGGTTCTCTCTCTTCTCGCCCGCCCCGTACCCCACGGCGCCACTCTCTCTCACACACACAGCTGAAGGTATCTTTAAAGGGTAGCTATTTCCTGCAGATCATGCTTATGTTAATCTCATTTCAAGTACAGATGCACTGAGGACATTACAGGGTCAGCTATTATCTACAAAGCTTTAGATACCGCTACATTATTCAAACTGGACAATGGACTTCCAGATTTTGTGCCCAGACCTGCTCACTAATAGAGTGACCTCCTTGTTATGGGTGAGGATATATATGATGCTAAAGCTGCTGCAAATTTTTATCAGCATTTAATCTTGAGACTGTGAATTACTACATCCTACATGTTTTGGTACCTTACTTTGATTAAAAATGGGATAAATCAGCGAGAGTCTTTTTATCAAAGGCCATGTTCCTTTCACATGAAGGTCATATATGGGCTAATTGAACAAAATATAAATCATGTTTCTTTCCACATTCAGTTTTAGATCCTGACCTGTTTTGTGTCAAGAAATCACAGGTAGTCCAACCTGTATCATCAAGATTGTCTCGATTCACAGATGATTTCGTTAAATCATAGAGCGATGACATTCAATGCAATTCCAAAATTAAGGACTGGAGAGTTCAGAGGATCATGTTTTTAAAACGCTTGTAGTGTTATAGGAAAAAGTAATCAGAACTTTGACTGCATTTGCTTTCCTGTGTCATAGAAATGTTGAGGACAGGAGAAAAATATAACTCCCACTGGTAACACCAGTCATGCCCTTGCTGGGAGAGGTGATGTAGAAGAACTTCTATCATTTTGATCAATTGAGCAGCTGATCTTTTCTTGCCTCAGGGTTCATTGGTCTACTCTCCAATTTTTATAAGGTATAGAAAATTTGGCCTTTAGTAAAATGGGCAGATCTCATTTATTTTTTTCCTGTTAAATATTTCTTTTGAAGATTTTGATGAAAATTGTGCTAGGATAGTTTTCACTTCAAGACATCCGTTCTCTAAGCTTAAAAATAAAATGGACATGCTTGTAGAGAAAGAAAATATACAAACCTGTTTCCTCAACACTGGATCCAGTGTTGATGGGAATGAAAAGAAACAACTTCTACCTCAGCCTTCCATCTCCGAAATGCAGGTGACCCCAAATAGGGTTGCCAGATAAAATATAAGATGCCCAGTTAAATGTGAATTCAAAGAGCCAGTGATTTTTTTGTACAAGCACGTCACAAATATTGCATATACCATTTCCTTTGCTGAAGTTGACCATCCAACTCCAAAGCCTTTAAGCAAATGTTCCACAGCTGTCCTGGGGAGTCAGAACTTAAAAGATTGATAATCCCACAGAATCAAGAGCAGAGAGGTAACTGAATGTCATTAAATCAACCTTTCATTTTGCAGATGATCAAACAGAGGTTAAAGAGATAAAAGCCATTTTCTAAGAACACACAGCTGACGATGAAGAGTCAGGACCAAACCTCTCCCTTGTCTGCAGAGTGAAGCTGCATCCTCTAAGGGGCATCACCTCCTTATACTGTTACTTGAAGAGTTAGACTTTGACTTTAGGATTAGCACATGGGCAAGCATATTCTGTTTCTCTGTGCATCTGTCTAATAAGGCAATAGGAATATAGCACAAGGAAATTCTATCATCTCCATGGTAAGGGAAATAGAACTGGCTACCTTCATGGGGGTGGGGGGTGGGACAGGGGAGGCAAATTACAGAGAACAAAGCACAGATTAGTATCTCAATAAATTATCCTGCCACATAGGCTTTCACATGTCAGGTTTTCTTAAAGTGGGGCACATTCATGTTAGCAATTCATGATTACTGTGGTTCATTATGGAATCTTCCCCTGGAGACCTTTCAGAATCAGATAGAAAGCCATCTGTCTTTGTTAGCCAAGTTTCAGCCCTACCAAGAGACCTGCAGGAGGATGAATTTAAATGACTTTCCCAAAACTCTTCTGAACCGTGGACTCTATGAAAATTTAAATAACTAATATTATAATGTTCAAACCTAAGACTAGAATAAATGCAAAAGTAGCTTGGTATTATTACAGAGCTTCAATATTACTCAAGGATTTACAGAATCATGGAAAATCCCTCCCAAAGCCATGGGAATGCCCTGGTTGCTTTCCTGAAACATCATAAGGAGGGCAGTGTAGCCTATTTGGTCAATGATGATTAAGGGTGTTATTTATATGCACATAGGACACCCAATTTCCTCATCATTTGCATGAGATGCATTCTAGAGAGCCCTCCAAACAGGAAAATGCATTTTCAGCCACAAACAGGGATAACTAAGGTCAGAGACTGAGATGTTAAGGTCCCCCTCACCCCCTGAGTTCCAGGTCAGAGACTGAGATGCTCAGGTCTCCCCTCGCCCCCTGAGTTCCAGGTCAGAGACTGAGATGCTCAGGTCTCCCCTCGCCCCCTGAGTCCTAGGTCAGAGACTGAGATGCTCAGGTCCCCCCTCGCCCCCTGAGTCCCCAGAGGCTCTCTGGTTGGTGATTGGCTGCATTTCCAACTCTCCCATTTGCCATTTTTCTTGCTTTTCCTAAGTAAGCTGGTGAGGTGACAGGGAGAAGGCTCAAGTGAAACTCACATCCCCCCTGCCCCAGGTGGTCCTGAGTTAGAGATATGGGGGAGGCCACTGCTGCCCAGCACCTGCTTCCAGCTGGATGAGGAACTTGCAAGCCAGGACAGTTCTCTGGGACCCAGGATGACAAAGACTGAGGTTGAAAAGCAGAAAATACAACACTGCCTAAGCATGTTCCCCACATAACCCAAACAACCAAAAATGTAAGCCATGGATATTAGAACTGGAAATATTTCCCACATGTTGAGGTTGGGAAAGACTTTGGAGCTTATTTCATCTAAACTATTCATTTTCCCGTGGACAAATGAGGGACTCATTACAAGAAATCATTTTTTCAGTCTTCACTGTTAAGGGAGAACCCTTCTTCTCCACACCTGATGTGTCCTTCCAGGTGGAAGGAGTCTCATTAGCATGAAACTCCTGGCCTCTCCCCCCATACCTCTCCCTCATTTAAGGGAAGAAAGAGTGACATAATATGATGGGGACTTCTGGGGGAAAAAACCTGGGTGAGTGCCACCTCGCCTCTTCCCCCTCTCCTTTTCTTCTGTGGGTACAGGTAGGAACACACTCTGCTTGCCTGCTCCAGGACAGACTCTCTCCTGTAAGGAGAGCTGTGATGCCCAGACCCCATGCTGTGGAGTGAGTAAATGTGCATACATCTAGTATTTAGTATCAGGAAGACCACTTGTCAAAAACCTATAAGCCACATTTCTTGAGTAGCAACTTTGGTAGTAATATAGGTGAAATTTGACCTCCATCTGTCTTTCACCTTATTTGTCCATTCTGAATTTCCGCAAGTGTATTGGGAGACCTCAAATCTCCACATCTGTATCTAGGGGTTCTTAAACATTCTCAGATCACAGATTACTTTGAAAAATCTCATGACATGTCTCCTCAGAAAAACACATTTCCTAAAGCCCATATGTGGATCTCAGTTAAAATCTGCCCGATGTGTTTTCATGATGAATTTTATAAGGTGATATATAGAGAGCAAGTCAAAAAGACTTAATTAGCTCTCTCTAGGAGTTCATGAAAACGCAGGCATTTGACAAACATCTGCCTTACCAACATTCAGTTATTCTAGACACACTAAGTTTGATGTATTTCATTAAACAAGCAGTGACTAAGAGACTGCTCTTCTCAGGTAGGCACTAAAGGGAAAGAGAGCATAAAGAGGGACAAGACAGTATTGTTGACCTCAAGAAACCCAGTCTAATGAAAAACACAGTGGTGAGTAAAAAATCACAGCATGGGCAGGCAGAGTTGCTCCCACCTGTAACCCCAGCACTTTGGGAGGCCAAGGTGGGTGGATTCCTCCAGCCCAGGGGTTCAAGACCAGCTGGGACAACGTGGAAAAACCCTATATCTACAAAAAAAAAAAAAAGAAAGAAAGAAAGAAGAAAAGAAAAAGAATTAGCAGGGCATGCGGGTGCATGTCTTTTGTCCAGCGACTTTGGAGGCTGAGGCAGGAGGATCACTTGAACCCAGGAGTTTGAGGCTGCAGTGAGCTGAGATCTTGCCACTGTGCTCCAGCCTGAGAAACAAAGCTAGACCCTGTCTCAAAACCAACTAACAACAAAAAAAATCACACCACAATGTGCTTTGCAACTGACTGTAGCCATATGATTCAGCTCTTGCCAAGGGAGTGAAATTGGAAGTAGTATGTGCAACTTCTGGTTCATGCCTTTAAAGGGAAATAAAAAACCTTCCCCTTCCATTTTCTCCCTTCCTGATAACTAAAATATATTTGCTATGTTGAAAGCTAGAGCATCCATCTTGGGCTCATGAGAGAAGCCACATATTGAGAGTAGCAGAGCAAAAAGATACAAGAAGCCTGGTTTGCTGACACCACTGAGCCAATACAACCACTCTAGAATATGTGCCTGGATTTTTTTTTTCTGAGAGAGAGAAAAATAAAGTTTTGTCTTGTGTAAGTGCTTCATTTTTAGGTCTCTTTGTTACAGCACCTAAGTTTTAAACTACTGCACTGTGAAATGCACTGAATTATGGGAGAACAGCACATTTGATGGGATGAAGCTAATGGCAGCAGGTCCTTTAATTCTTAGGTTATAGACATAGAAACCAATGCAAATAAGTTACATCTTCCAGAAAGTCACAAGAATAGCAAAGTTCACATTTTCCTCTTATGTTCCAAATCTAGTGCTTATTACTTAGCATGTCCAGTATACAAGGATAGTCCTTGAAACAAATTCTTTAAAAAAATTTCCAAGCAGTTGACTAGTGGCTGCCATGTGCCAACCACTTTGATGAGCACTGAGGATGAAATACAAAGCAAAAACAAAGTCCCCAGTTTCACGGACTTAGGAGAATATGTCATAAAGGAATCTGACGTGGATGTGTCTCTGTGAAGGCTCTCCTGAGCTCATGTGCTTGAACTGCGCCCTAAAGGAATAGAAGAACTAAACAAAGTGAAGAATGGGAGAGAATATTCTCCAGGTGGCAACAACAGCATGTGCAAAGGCCCTGTGGTGAGAAGCAGCATGGCAAGTGTGAGGAACTGGATGAGGCTGGGTGAAATGCAGAGGAACAGGCAGAGATTGCTACAAGATGAGGTGAAAAGGTAAGTAGGGCCAAATTACACAGGGTCTTGAGAAGCATATTAAGGATCTTGGTCTTTAACCTGAGAATACTTCACACCTGGGGAAGGATTTAAGCAGAGAATGAGAGGAAAGGGGAGGATGACATGATTGTTTCTGTTTGTATTATGAAGAACAGATGGGGTTGGGGTGCAAAGTGAATACAGGGGAATGACTGCAGCTCCCTACGCAAAACATGATGATCATTAGGACAGGAGGTATAGGAGGTGGTGGAGATAGTTGTCAGCTGGAGGCCAGTGTTCTGGCATAAAGGGAATCTCACCTCCTATGATTTGAATATATATGTCCCTCCAAAATGTATACATTGAAACTTAATCAATACGGTGATAGTATTAGAAGGTAGGGCCTCTGGGAGGTGACTAAGTCATGAAGATTTCAGCTTTGTGAAGGATGAATGCCCTTATAAAAAAGGCTTCAGAGAGCTGCCTCCCTCTTCCACTTTCCTACTATGTGAGGATGCAGCAAGAAGGCATCATCTTGGAAGAAGAGTGTGAGCCTACACCAGAAGCCAAATCTTCAGTCCATGTCCTTGACCTTGGACTTTCCAACCTCTAGAACTGTAAGAAATAAATTTCTATTGTTTATAAACTACCCAGTCTGTGGCATTTTGTTATAGCAACAGAAGCAGACTAAGACAACACTGTGAGCCAACTATACTTAGTTTACCTAGATAACCCAGAAGAATCAAATATACATAGAATTATGTAAACTGTGTGAATTGCAAATGTGTCAAGGTTCCAGAGTCCACTATGGCAAAGATTTGCTTTTGTTAGAAGTTTTGCCACCTTTGTTTTCTTATTTTTGCATTTGTTTTACCCTCTTCCTCTCCTTGGTAGTGAAAGAGCCAACAAATCTCTAATCATATGAGTTACATCCAGGATAATTCCCATTTGGGCCTTTCCCTAGAAACAAACATGCATCTTCTGTGTGTGTATTTGCTAAGTGACTAATACAGAAATCAATGGCCACCACATTCTCTGAGTATGCCCCTACTGTTTTGTTTTGTTTCAGACTTTGTGTTTATGCTGTTTTTTTAAATGAAAAATTGGAAAATAATAATCTCTGTCTTTCTAAAAATATCTCTTTGTAAATATTCTTCAAAAGCTCATAAGCTACTTAACAGAAACCTTTCCCTTCCTTTTCCACCAAAAGTACAAAGATAAGTTACTCCTTGATGAAATTATTGACATACATCCCACAAGACTTCCTTCCATAGCAAGTAAATATTCCCTCAATAACAATGGACGTGGTATGGAATAAAAATGGAATAGCATGGAGAATAGGAAAATTCTTAGAGTTTTAATAAAAGGTTTCTGAAAGAACCCAAGGAGGCTGGTTTTACACAAAAGAGACTTGGTGATTCACAACAGCTCCCCCGAACCCCGACTCATACAGGGGAGGAAGGGGTCTGCAGCCTAGTTGCTGGTGGCCTCTACCTGAAAGTGATAGGGTTACACTATTCCTTCTGGACCAGTAAGTCATAGGCTTAGGTCTTTGTTGAGCTCTGTCTCTTTAAGCTCACAAAAGAGAAATCCCACTCTGAGAAGTGAAATCTAGTTGCATTTCAAACTCTTACTAATTTTTACTAGGGGGAAATAACAATATAATCTTTAAAAATTAAATTCTTAAGAGCCTAAAATTCAGACTAATTCACAAGAACTTTTTTTAGTCCCTATCATATATGCAGAAATTCAGCTTAAGTTTGCAAAACTGATTCTTAAAAGACCTCCATGAGGAGAGAGAGTAATATTAGCATTTACATTGTTGGCATGTGCATAAGACTTCTTGATCTGCAGTCCAATGCTCTGCCTCTGAGCTACACCCCTCTAGTATGTGTGTGAGACTTCTAAGTTGACCAACTGTCCCAGTTTGCCTAGGACTGAGGGGACTCCCAGATATGGAACTTTTTGCTTTAAAACTGGGAGAGTGAGGGCTGGGTGCAGTGGCTCACACCTGTAATCCCAGCACTTTGGAAGGCTGAGGCAGGCAGATCACCTGAAGTCAGGAGTTCAAGACCAGCCTGGCCAATATGGTGAAACTCCTGTCTCTACTAAAAAAACAAAAATTAGTCAGTCCTGGTGGCGTGCGCCTGTAGTCCCAGCTACTCTGGAGGCTGAGGCAGAAGAATCGCTTGAACCTAGGAGGCAGAGGTTGCAGTGAGCCAAGATTTTGCCAGGGCACTCCAGCATGGATGACTCCATCTCAAAAAAAAAAACAAAACTGGGAGAGTGGCCAGGCACATTGGCTCATACCTGTAATCCCAGCACTTTCGGAGGCCAAGGTGGGTGGATCACCTGAAGTGAGGAGTTCGAGACCAGCCTGGCCAACATGTTGAAAAACAGTTTCTACTAAAAATACAAAAAAAATTAGCTGGGCATGGTGGCACATGCCTGTAATCCCAGCTACGTGGGAGGCTGAGGCAGGGAGGATCACTTGAACCTTGGAGGTGGAGGTTACAGTGAGCCGAGATAGAACCACTGCACTCTGGCCTGGGTGACAAAGTGAGACTCTGTCCAAAAAAAAAAAAAAAAAAAAAAAACCTGGGAGACTTCTGACAGGTGTGGTGGCGCACGCCTGTAATCCCAGCACTTGGCAAGGCCAAGGCAAGTGCGTCACTTGAGGTTAGGAGTTCGAGACCAGCCTGACCAACATGGTGAAACCCTGTCTCTACTAAAAATACAAAAAATTGCCGGGCATGGTGGCACGTGCCCCAGCTACTGGGGAGGCTGAGACAGGAGAATCCCTTGAACCCAGGAGGCAGAGGCTACAGTGAGCTCAGATCGCACCAATGCACTCCAGCCTGGGCGATAGAGTGAGACTGTCTCAAAAAAAAAAGGGATGGGATAGGGTGAGGGAAGAATCACTTGAACCTGGAAGGCAGAGGTTGCAGTGAGTCAAGATCGTGCCACTGCACTCCAGCCTGGGAGACAGAGCAAGAATCTGCCTCAAAAAACAACAACAACAACCAAAAGCAAAACACAACAAAAAGATGAGGCAGTTCAGGGGAAGCTAAGTTGGTTACCCTCCCTAATATATGCAGTTCGTTAATTTTCTGAAAGAATTTAAGCATCAGTCCCTCAATACGTATTTATGAAGGACTTTCTTACGTCTGCTCAGTACTCTGCTAGGCACTGTAAGAGATAAAAAGGGTATATAAGTCATGGGGTCCATCCCTTGCCTGAAATTCTGTGACTCCCTGATTGCTTCTCAGGAGTTTATAATCTAATTTTTCAAAATATGCAATGACTGCTTACTAAACATGACTTGTCAGGCACTGTGGTTGGCACGTATGATAAACATAAATGAAAGATCAAGTCTGGTCACAAGAAACTTACTGATTTAGGAGGAAGATAGATGATACAGATAATATATAAAACAGTACAATTTGGTAAAGGCTATTACACAACTATGGGAAAGTCCCAGGCACACACAACATAGCAGGATGTGACTAACGAGGCTATGTGCAGAGACAGTGATGGCACCAGGCAGCATGTGATGTTTCATGCAAGTGCTGGTCTACATTCTGCATAATAAACGTTGTAATAGTTCAGAGACAGAAAAAGTCTGCTTACCAGGATCATTATCTCTGGGTATATAGGGAAAGACCCTGTTGAAATGAGAGAATTTAAGGTAGACTTAGGTAAAAACTTCATATGTATGGATAAATATAAAAGAAGGCTTGCATAGCCCAATCATAATAGTTTGTTATGAACCGATCATTATGGTTTATCCAGTTCTGTGCATCTGAGATGCAAAAATCAACCAACCACCACAACAAAAGATTAACTGTCAGAGACAGGGAAAAGAAAATTCCATGTGAATATACCAGCATCACCAAAGATCTAGACTAGAGGCAAAAAAGATTAACACCCTTTAGCATTAGATGGATTTAACAAAAGAGGAAAGTTTTATGTAGAAGAAAAAGATAAGAAAAAATAGGTTAAGATCAAATTATGAAAGATCATGAATTTTCGAAAAGCTTGGAATTCCTTTCTTAGACACTGAGGAACAGTTGAAGGCTTTTGAGAAGGGAAGTGCTAGGGTGAAGGTTGTATTTTAGGAAGCTGAATCTGGCAAAAGTGATAACCCAGGTCTCGCATGAATTAGAGAAGATTCTGAGTTAATTAATTAAAACCAAAGAAGTCTTACCATACATGGAAAGGAATATTAAATACAGTTCTCCCTTTTTGCGGCAGAACACAGCTGCTGGCTGAAGGGAGGGAGAGGTTCTTGGCATCTCTGTAAGAGGTTGGGAAGCTGCTGCACCTGCTGAGAAAGAAACTGGCACCTCTTCTGCATAGAGAAGCATGGCAGCCTTGAGGGAACCTTTTCCCTTCATCAGAAGCCCCGTCATAATTGGAGAAGGTCATCTCCAAGGAGAAATCAAAGAAACAAGACCTTCCAGCTCCAATTTCCATAAAGAAAACTACCCAGAAAATGATTGCACCTATGTATGCCTAGATTGAACTAAAACAAACAAAAGTAAAGAGAAAGTCTTCCATATCGTTCCAAGTTATAGACACCTTCAAATTCCTTTCTCATAATCTATGTCTATTTCTAATTCTACCTGTACAAAATATAATCATGCCTGCTTGTAATTACCTATGCGTACATGAATACTAGTAAGTTAAACTCGTTCGTCTATTTACAAAGACAGCGTGATACATAGCAGCTTAGGAATTGCTTCTTTTCCCTATGATTTTAAATGTACAACGAGTTTCTTTCTAAAACACATATTTGCAGATGTCACTTTAAACACTATTTTCTGAGATTATATTTTCCATAGAAAACAGATGTCTGCAATTATCCCTTTTTTGACCTCTGAGACTTATCAAAGTCAAATAGGTAATCATCCAATCAGACGGGCTATCATTATCAGAAGAAAAGTAATTATAATCTGAATATGTTTGAACATGATTATTATAAGCTTTAAACTGTTACACTTTTGATTGGGGCAGAATTGGAAGACATTATCACTTCATAATTCAAATGATGTAACTTCACTTGTTTTTGTCATTTAGAATCTGGAGAGCTAAATTTATTTAACAATATAATTCTTTAAACATGAACAAATTATGCCATAATCTCTTTAAAACCATGAGAATGCTTCTCAAAATCTTGACAGTGAAATTAGGGGAATTTTTTTTTTAACCAGAGCAAATCAGAGCTCAGCACTGAGCTCCATCAGAATGGGAAGCTTTGGGCAGACATGTTCATTTCACAGACATTTTGTGATCTGCTTGGTTCTTTTAAAGAGACCAGCTGCTTTCCTGCCTACCTGTTGAGGCCCACACACTGCTGGTCCGAAACAAAAGGAGACAATTAGGCCAAATATAGAAATGATCAGAAAGAAAAAAATATCTTTCCAAAGATGATGTATAAATAGAGAAGTGAATTAAAACTAAGGATATGAATTTAGGGGGAAAAATGTTGAAAGCCAAATGTCTCATAGATATTAAGTAAAACATCACTTCCTTTTGAAAATAATTTTTTAAAACCTGATTATGCAGCCCTTCAGTCCAGATGTTTATTTAACTTGGTTAGGGGGTCC